ACCCCCGTAGTCTGGGGCGTTTTCTAAGGCCTTTTGTTCTGATGGAAGTGTTCTTATTTCCAAATTATTTTATTCATCCAAGTTGAGGACCTGTGTTTCAGGCACATTGTGCTAGTTGCCCAGGCTATAGCTGTGAACTATATATATATATAGTTCACAGCTATATATATATATACTTTTTTTTTTAACCTATTTGACTGTCAAGATGGGAGGAAATTGGTATAATTTTCAGGGCCTTGTGGTCTTGGGCCCACACTGATCATGTTGTATCAATATACATGACTTTTGCTGAGGATCAGCTACAGACAAATTATGGAATTCCTCTTGTTCCCAAAACCAGTTAGGCAAGCAGACCAAATGGGGAAGAAAAAAAAAAATCCAAGTGAAAATGATTCAGTGCTGGATACAGTTTTTTAAAAGTCAAAACAATATTTCCAGTGTGACTTCAAATGATGGTAATTGAATTGAACAACTGAAAACTTCCAAGAAAAATAAATTGAATGTAAAGGTGGTGTTTTTTCAAGAAGGATGTAAGGCCTCACCTGCCCTAATGACCCCTTCTTTACACACAGGCCCCTGCAGATCCTGTCAACAGCTATGACTGGCCTCCGTGGAATCCCCTCAACAAATAGGATCGTTCCCATTTCCACACTCAAAAAGCACTGGGTCCATGCCTGACTCTTACTGCATTTAGCACCAACTATTTTTGGTTAAAAGTATGAGATTGAGGACACAGCTTTGAACAAGGACCCTGAAAAGAATAGGCTTCTGGCAACTCTATAACCTAGAAAATGCATGGTTTTCTGAAGTCACTTAACATCTCTATTTCCTTGTTGAAGGACCAAGATTGTATTTATTTACTTATGCAGAGTTGTCCTATGAAGGACAAAGAAAGCAAGAAATCACAACTGGTAGAAGTGTTAGTTATAAAAATATTTCTCCCTCTTATCGTAGTCATTCCTGTTTCTTTGGGCTTGGCTGGGAAGGAGAGCAAAAGGATGAAAGAGCTCTGTATGGAGTGGAATTTGGCAGTGTCTTCACAGCCAATGGTGTTTATGATCTTAGAGATCAGATACCTGAGAGTGAAGCAAAGAGATCAAAACAAAAAGCTTGAGAGAAAGATGTGATCGATACATGGAAGGAGGAGGAGGTTCTAGATTTTTATTCCTCCAATGTTGAGGACCTGTGTTGTCAGGCACATTGTGCTAGCTGCCCAGGCTATAGCTGTGAACAAAAAAGTCTGATCTTAGAGAGCTTAACATTCCCGTGGGAATATTCAGACAAGGAAGATACATATTAGGCGGTGAGAAAAAGAAAAGGCTGTTGAGTATGCAGAGAGTGATTCCATGGTAGCTGCAATGTACATA